AGTAGGTGGGTTTGTGTTTGTGTGCATGCATGTATGCATGAAGTTTTATTCAATGTTATCACATAAAAATTCTGTAATCGGCCCTCCCTGGTGGCACAGCAGGTTAAAGCACAGCACTAAGAAGCTAAAGTAACTTCAGCATAAGCTAGATCTCTGCCCACACTGGAGGTGATCCACATGGTGCAGCAGACCTCTCCTGACCCACCCACTGCTCCCCTTAGCAGTGTACTTTCTCAGTCAGCCTGTTCTGCTTAACACTCTGTCTCTGGTGAATCCTCTCACTGCCCCTGCACCTCTGGCCTGTACCCCAGTTCTGTATGCATAAATAAATAATTTTTTAAAAATTCTGTTATCACCACTACAATCAAGACACAGGTTAATCTACTACCATAAACACCCACCTACCGCTTGTAGTCTACACCCTCTCTGCCACTCCGGCAACACTAACCTGCTTTCCTGCAGGAAGCATTATGCATATTAAATTTATTTTAAATGCCTTTAAACTCAGAGTCCTGTGTTTCCACTGCTTTATCTTGCATGGGAATACAACCTAGAAACCCAATGCATATCAATTTTGTCATTTTTAAAAATGTTATATGAACGGAACCTTTTTTGCTCTTGCTGTTTTTAATATTTGTAATATGGCAAACATTTGAGAATGGCTTTTTTCGCTTGTCCTTGAGGTTCACCCAACTTCTTATATGAATTTATGCTTCACTACATTTTGTTTATATTTTTTGCTCTTTAGTATTCTAAAATATATTCTGTTTTCATTGTCATTCAGCTTCAAATAACTTATAATATCTACCTTGATTTCTTCTATGAACCATGGATTATTTACAAGTTTGATAGTTAGATTCTAAGTATCTGTGGATCTTTTAGTAATGCTACTAATTTATTATGGAATTTGACTGTGGTCAGAGATCATACTTTGTAAAACTTGAAACCCTTTAAATTTATTAAAACTTGCTCTAGGGACAAAAGACAATCTGTCGTTGGGTGGAGTATTCTGTTTAGTATGATTTAATGTCCAACTCAAGTTTAAGTGTTTCTCCTTTGAGTATATTTAGATCTCTTTTAACTATTTAATGATTGGGGCTATGCCTTCTTACTTTTATTGCCATTATATTTTCTTTCTTAAAGCATATGACATGTAAAAGATTGTCTCTTTATTATGATGGCTGGATTATATGTATCTTAACCTTTTAACAGTTTAGCTGCATTTAATGGGGGTGGAAAGGAGAATGGGATCGGAACTGGGGTGGGAAGAATGCATTGGACTTTGGTGATGACACACAGGTGAACTGGTGGTGGGAAGCCCATGGGGATTACAACTGAGATGAAAAAATGCACAAAATTAAGAATGATGTAAAAAAATAAAAAACAAAGGGGGGGGAATTTAGCTGCAAGTGATATACTACTTACATATACTATAGAAAACTCACATTTATCTGCTTCCATTTCCCATGGCTTTATGCTGTTGTCATTCTTTCTTTCT